AGCTCTTGCCGCACGTGCGCATTCTGCCCAGGAGGAGGATCGGAGGAGGAGAGGAGGCAGAGAGCTCCCCGCCCAGCGCTGGAAAAAGGTAACTTTTTAACCCTTTCCCCTTTCCAGAGCCGGGCGGGAGGGGGTCCCTGAGGCTGGGGGCACCCTCAGGGCACTATAGTGCCAGGAAAACAAGTATGTTTTCCTGGCACTATAGTGGTCCTTTAAATACCACGAAAATGATTACTGTGGTTATGACAGGGATGTGGAATTCCTATCGCCCTGATGCCCAAGACAGGCAGTTCTGGGAAGGAAGATTTGTTTAGCCCTGCCACGGGAAAACAGTAGGGCTGGTAGAGGGCCAGATCAGAGAGTGTTTGGTTTGTATCTCAAACAATAGTGAGTCCTCAAAAGGAGGACAGATGATTACAATGTTCATTACAATTATTTTGGATGACATTACAAGAAGCTTTGGCTACCACTTTAGTCCTATGAATAAATCTGGATTTTTTTAATTTTATTTTTTTAAATCTCCACACCCCACAAGACTCAGACTATGCAAGATTATTGCTGCTTACTATGGAATGACAAGAGTGAAGGACACAACAGAATGTCCATAGACATTAATTGTAAAAACCACAAGACAGACCAAATAAGTAATTACCATAGGTATTCCTTAACGAGACTAACTTGTTCTGAGATTCAGAGTAAAGGGAAACTATACAGCTTAATGTAGTGGTTCTAGTGTCTACAGCCTGTCCCTGCATGCTGAGCAAAATACAATGTTTACATTGCTGCTTTGTAACACCTCATGTGGCAGTTGCTCAGATGGTCACTAGAAGTGCTTCCTAGTCCAGTAATGCATAGTGTGCAGTACTTGCGTGCATGGTGACACTAAACGTTCCCTATAGAGATGAAGTAATAGTTTTACACTAAAAAAAAATTGCATACTTGGACATAACATAAAAGCAAATACATATTTTATACATAATCCCCAATGTGTTCATGGCAGATATTGAGGTGACTTGAGGCACAAATATGTGTCATGGCTGAAATTCACTGGCTTAGAGGATCGCTCTACCTCTATAGTTTTACATTTTGAAGTAATGGCACATGCCTATCTTATTACACCCACACAGTGCTCTAGCATTTGGAGAACCACATCTGCAGCCATCTATTAATAAGAAACGATTGGGCACTGAAACTTAATTGTAGGTAGTCTGGAGAAAGGCAATGAAAAGCTGAAACCTCATCTTGTGATGTGGAATAAAAGTAGCTTTAAAAAATAACCTCTGGGTACCTGGCTCATTCGTTGTAATACAGAGGATGGAACTTGCCACAGAGAACAAGAGAAGGTTTAGCTTGATTTTAGAAATCTATTCTACCTTGGTTAATACTGTAAGAGGAAGTCTGCTCACACAATAAACTGACCTACAGAGCAATACACTAAAAAATTGTACATTTCTAGCATGGAATGGGGATTGGAAGAGTTAGAACACACTGAAATGTTCCAATTTTCCTAACTGGGAGTAAGAGGTCAATGAAAGGGAGATTTTTGACTGCACTCTTTTTATAACAGTCTGTGTTTGCAGCTCTCTGCCACTCCATCTAATGTGGGCTCCCATGAAGCTCAGGCAGCCAGGCAGGTGAAGCACCAGGTAAGACTCGTCCACAGCAATTGCTCACATTCCTGCTCCCTACTTTGGCCACTCACTCACTCAGTCAGTCACTCACTCACTCACTCACTCACTGAGTCCTGCTGGTCGTTATCTCCCCAGCGCGTGTCTGTCACTCGCAATGAAAACAAAGCATGACATTACCTGTGACTTTCAGGAACTCTCTGACATCACTTCCGGCGTACAGACACCACCTGACTACTCTGGGCACAACAGAGATAGCTCTGGGAGAGGCTAGAGCGGCCTTCCAGCGCGTCACGTGACACCCGTCACTAGAAAGAGTGCGAAACAAGCGAGTCGCGGTACAGCTGTGCATTGTGTGCTGGGCAGTAGCTGCTGTGATTAGAGCTCTATACATAAATTAAAGGACCACTCTAGGCACCCAGACCACTTCAGCTTAATGAAGTGGTCTGGGTGCCAGGTCCAGCTAGGGTTAACCCTTTTTTAGGAACATAGCAGTTTCAAAGAAACTGCTATGTTTATAATAGGGTTAATCCAGCCTCTAAAGCCTCTAGTGGCTGTCTCATTGACAGCCGCTAGAGGCGCTTGCATGCTTCTCACTGTGAAAATCACAGTGAGAAGATGCCAGCGTCCATAGGAAAGCATTATGAATGCTTTCCTATGAGACTGGCTGAATGTGCGCACAGCTCCTGCCGCGCATGCGCATTCAGCTGATGAGGAGGATCGGAGAGGAGGAGGAGGAGAGCTCCCCGTCCGGCGCTGGAAAAAAAGGTAAGATTAACACCTTTCCTCGCCATCCAGCCCAGCGGGAGTGGGACCCTGAGGGTGGGGGCATCCTCAGGGCACTATAATGCCAGGAAAACGAGTATGTTTTCCTGGAACTATAGTGGTCCTTTAATCTATATCAGATCCTGCCCCAATCAACACATTTAAAGGACCACTATAGGCACCCAGACCACTTCAGCTCAATGAAATGGTCTGGGTGCCTGGTCCATCTAGGATTAACCCTGCCTGCTGTAAACATAGCAGTTTTAGAGGGAGTAGGACCCAGGGGAGGGGGGGGTCCCAAAGACCCTATAGCGAGGAAAACAAGTTTGTTTTCCTGGCACTAAAGTAGTCCTTTAACCCCTTCCCGACCGTGGACGGAAATTTTCCGTCAACCTTGTCCTTCAGTTAAGGACCGTTGACGGAAAATTTCCGTCATTTTCTTAAGTTAACCCCAGATCGCCGCGATCGCGGCAATCGCGGGGTTAACGGTGCTCCGGTCTGCCTCTGCATTAGAGGCAGACCGGGAGCACCCGATCGGGCTGCCCCAGCACCGGTGCTCGCTCTGACAGCATGTCAGAGCGAGCACATGTGCTCCACATACTCACCTTCCGCCTCCCTGCACTTCCGGGTTCTGTGTGAAGTGCAGGGAGACGGATCAGTGCTGATCTGCTTCCCTGTGTAAAAAAAAAAAAAGTTAAATCCCACCCCCCCTGCCCCTGTTTTAATAAAATTAACCCCTTCCCTGCCAATTGATCACTGACTACAGTGATCAATTGGCAGGGTATACATTTTAATGTCATCTGATTTTTTTTTTTTTAACCCCTGAGGGTTAATTTTTTTTTTTTTAACCCTCAGGGGTTAAATTTATTATATTAATTAATTTAAATATTAAAAAATTATATATTTAGCTAGCTGGGATGGGTGGAAGTTAGTGGGGAATTGGGGAATTTGGTGTTAGGCTAACTAGGGGTTAACGTTAAAAAAAGTTTTAAAATAAGCTTTAAAAAGGTAAAAAAAAAAATTTTTTAAAATGTTTTAGTAACGTTTAAGTAAAAAAAAAAAAAATACCACCCCCTTTACCCAGTCTAAATAAAAATTAACCCCTTCCCTGCCAGCTGATCACTGCCTACAGTGATCAAAATACAGATCACAGTATTATACTGTGATGTAATTTTTTTAACCCCTGAGGATTAATTTTTATTTATTTTTTTTAACCCTCAGGGGTTCCATTTATTTAATTAATTAATTTAAATATTTTATAATTAAATATTTTGCTAGCTGGGGTGGGTGGGAGTTATGGGAAAATGGGGAATTTACGGTTAGTGCTGCTTACTGCTAGTTAGGGGTTAACGGTAAAAGAAAAGTTTAAAAAAAAAATTAAAAGTGTAAAAAAAGTTAAGATAGTGTAAAACATTTAATAAGTAAAAAAAAAAAGTTTAAAAATGGGTTTTACAAAGTAAAAAAAGTTTTACAAAGTAAAAAAAGTTTTACAAAGTAAAAAAATACATTTAAAAATGCTCATTACCACTACACTTGGTACAAGCTAGCGGAAATATTATCCCACGCTAAGGTTCAAAATATGCCTTTGAATTACCCTGGGATGTCTTCTTTAAGAAATGATATGCCTTTATGGTGTAATTGGATGATATAGCCTTGTAAAATACTCTAAAATGGGACATGGACACAGCGTAAAAATTCAAAGTTTGGAAAAAACTGGAATGGCTGTGTCTCAAATGTGCCCCTTCAATGTCCACATATACCTGGCAAAGGTACATACGGGGGTATTGCTGTACTCAGCGACATAGCTGAACAACATATGAAGTAGTATACAGTCGTAGTACACATAAGGTTTGCAAAATATACTGCGCAAACTCACTTTGTGTGTCAAAAAGGCAGAAAAAATGCTTATTACCACTACACTTGGTACAAGCTAGCGGAAAAATTATCCCACGCTAAGGTTCAAAATAGGCCTTTTGAATTACCCCGGGATGTCTTCTTTAAGAAATGGTATGCCTTTATGGTGTTATTGGATTATATAGCCTTTTAAAATACTCTAAAATGGGACATGGACACAGCGTAAAAATTCAAAGTTTAAAAAAAATGGAATGGTTGTGTCTCAAATGTGCCCCTTCAATGTCCACATAAACCTGGCAAAGGTACATACGGGGGTATTGATGTACTCAGCCGACATAGCTGAGCAACATATGAAGTATTATACAGTCATAGTACACATAAGGTTTGCAAAATATGCTGCGCAAACTCACTTTGTATGTCAAAAAGGCAGAAAAAATGCTTATTACCACTACACTTGGTACAAGCTAGCGGAAAAATGATCCCACGCTAAGGTTCAAAATATGCCTTTTGAAATACCCTGGGATGTCTTCTTTAAGAAATGGTATGGCTTTATGGGGTATTTGGATTATATAGCCTGGTAAAATACTCTAAAATGGGACATGGGAACAGTGTAAAAATTTAAAGTTTGAAATGAACTGGAATGGCTGTGTCCCAAATGTGCCCCTCCGATGTCCACATATACCTGGCAAAGGTACATACGGGGGTATTGATGTACTCAGCCGACATAGCTGAGCAACATATGAAGTATTATACAGTCGTAGCACACATAAGATTTGCAAAATGTACTGCGCAAATTTACTTTGTGTGTCAAAAAGGCAAAAAAACGCTTATTACCATTACACTTGGTACAAGCTAGCGGAAAAATTATCCCACGCTAAGGTTCAAAATATGCCTTTTGAAATACCCTGGGATGTGTTCTTTAAGAAATGGTATGCCTTTATGGTGTAGTTGTAATATGTAGCCTGCTCAAGTGCTCCAAAGTGGGCACGGACGCATCAAAACCCTCCATGAAAATTCACACTTAAAAACCTTAACTTGTTACGTCTCTTTTATAGCAGTGTAACTTCACAAAATAGTGTCTAGGTCATACATTGGGCATATTGTTTTACTCAGAAGACTTAGCTGAGCATAATTTGGGGGTTTGAACTTAGTGGCACATATGAAATGTACAAAATGCCCAGCAAAAATGTAATCCGTATGTAAAAAATGCCCAAAATTATTTTTTACCACATACTTTGGCATATATTGGTGAAAAAATGGGGGCATGTTAAGGCACAATATGCACCATATGAGATACCCTGGAGTGTCTACTTTTATAAATGGTAGGCCTTTGTGGGTTTTTTTTGAACAGTCAAACTGCTATAATACCCCAAATTGAAGCATAGGCCCATTAAATCCGCCTCTCAAAATTCTACTGTAAATGTTGAAATGGACAGGTCTCCTATATGGCACTGTAGCTTCACGAAATAGTGCCAAAGACATACAATGGGGGTATCGTTGTACTCAGCAGAAGTAACTGAACACAAAATAAAACTTTGTACAGGAATAGCACACACCAACTTTACAAAATATACATGGGAAGTTCTTTGTTATAAGTTTGTGTGCCAAAAACTCCAAAAAACTAAATTTTACTCCAATATTTAGCAGAGATTGGCGGTGAAATGGCTACTTAGAAAGTGTCAAAAAAACCTTAGGACAATAGCCTGTGATGTCTACTTTATATAAATATATACTTTTGTGTGGCAATTTTGTTTTCTTTTATGGCTATTAAGCTTACAAGACAAACATACAAAATTCTAAAATCGCTCTACATTAAAAGTTTATTTTACTCCTTGTGCTTTATGACCTGTAACTACCAAAAAAAACTTTAAATCCCAGACACATTATATATTTTGTAAATCAGAACAACTAAATAAATTTATTTTTAATTACTTTCTTTAACCTGCACTAATTAGGCACACATTATTATTGCAAAAACTGTACAAAAAACACAAAATTTTTCTTTTTTTTGCATTTTTCTGTATTTTTTAAATAATAAATAAGCATTTATATATATATATGTTACATCAAATTAAAGCCCTTTATGTCCTTTAAAAAACAGTATATAATATGTGTCGGTGCAATAAACGAGAGAGATGCAAATTGCAGTTGAACGCATACAGCAAGAAAATGCAAAAATTGCTTGTGTCATTAAGCGTAAGACAAGCTTCTGAAGCTGTGTCCTTAAGGGGTTAAGTGTCACTGTCACCCATTCACCCCCAACAAACTACGTATTTCATACAGATTTTATCTTTATGAAATAATACATATATTGACTGTACTGGAATTTCAGTGAAACTCCAACCCAGTCAAAAAAGTTAGTTCTACTGAGACATATAGGACTTGGTCTCAGTAGGTTTCCAGCGACTGACACTTCTAGATACAGGGCCGAGCTTCCGCCTTATAGAAATGTCAATCTCCCCTATTGTCACCAGTGATGGCTTTATTTTTGCAAAGTCCCCAAACATTGATAGTGCCGCTTTAATGCATTTGTTTTATTCCTTTGACGTCATAAGAGTCTCTAGTTTTAGCG